GAGCATAAGCTTTTGTGGGTGAATACCCACTTCGTCAGATGCATCCAACGAAGTGGGTATTCACCCACGAAAGCTTATGCTCCAATATGTCTGTTAGTCTATAAGGTGCCACAGGACTCTTTGCCGCTTTTAACATGGCTACCCCTCTGATCATAGAATATCAGGGTTGGAAGGGACCTCAGGAGGCCATCTAGTCCAACCCCCTCCTCAAACCAGGACCAATCCCCAATTTTTGCCCCAGATCCCAAATGGCCCCCTCAAGGATTGAACTCACAACCCTGGGTTTAGCAGGCCAATGCTTAAACCACTGAGCTATCCCTCCCCCCATACTGATACTTGACATCTTACTAGAAGGTTGCAACATAACAATACTTATTCCTTAGAATTCAGAACCTTAACACACAAGAACCCAAAACCAGAGAGAGACAAAGCAGGCTGCTCCCTAGAGCAGTGAGGCACAACTCAGCCTACAGTAAGATGGGGTATCTGTCTGCTGACTAACTCTGCTTGCCTGCTTCCCTACAGAGCCAGCTGTCTGCAAGCAGGACCAGGAAAACTCCTGAGAATGTAAAGTGATTGATCACAATTATAACACAGTTTTCAATATACCACACCCAATAATGGCACCTCAGCGATTCCAAAGTCTGTAGCAGCTTTAGGAACCAAAGCTGACCCTCTCTGCATGCATGGGGAAGGAGTGGCTTTCCCTACAGGCCCCACAGGAGCATCAAAGTCACAGAGCCAAAAGCAAGTGCAAGAAGGGACCATCCCCATGGACTGGTAGGGAAGATAGGGAGTCCCACCTACAGCTGGTCAGGAATTTTTTGACAAACGTTTTTTCTTCAGAAAATGCCAATTCATCAAAGCCAAAACTGTTTGCAGGAAAAGGTTTGGTGTTGCTGAACTCACTGTTTTGGAAAAAAGTTTCGAGGTTGTTGAAGTGTCCCGGTTTGATGTATTTAGAATGAAAAAGTTCCACTTTCTGGCTTGAAGTTATATTGTTCTGAAATTTAATTTCTAGTAAAAAATGTCAAAATCAAAACAAAAGATTTGATTGACCGGATCCATTTTTTAAATTTTATTTTCGGTTTGCAAAAATTTCAGCTGGGATAGAAAGAGTTTTTGAAATCTCACATTCTCACAGGACAGGAAAAGTGTTCCCCGCTCAGCTCCAGTCTCAACCATTGCAGGGTAGGAGCACCAGGAGTCTGACTCAAAAATGGGTACTGCATCCAGCTCCCAAACATGTGGGTGTTAGTCCTCAGGAATCCCTCTCTCCCACTGTCTGAACAACCAGTGTCCCCCAGTGAGTCACTCACCCCCTCACCTGCATAGGCAGGCAAGTAAAAGAGTGCCCGATCCCACTGCCAGAGTTATCTGGCTATGCACTGATCAAGCCAGGTGTGTGCAGTGGCCACCATTACCACCCTACACAGTACTGGCAAAGTCTGGGACTAATTGGGAGTCATTGGATCCGAAAGCTTGTTCCAGCTCAGCAGCCCCACTGAACTAGAGAGCTGTGCAGATTGGCCCCTCAGTGGCATGACACAGCACTGAATGCTTAAATGAAGGATTGGCAGTCACCCCTCCACAACCCTTTCTGAAGACACAAGATGACAGCTCCGGGGGACAGGGACAGTAGCCACACTTGGGGCTCCCTGCCTTAGGTCATTTAAGATTTCGGGTAGAAGAAAATAAAAAAGCCTCTCATGGAAAAACCAAATCAGCCAGGAAAAAGATACGAGTAATAAAGTCCTCTCTCACATCTCCTGGGGAAACAGAACCCAGCTTCTCCTTGGCACAAGAGTAATGGGCAGCCTTTAAATCATTTAGTCACAGAAAAATTCAATGAGAAATGGTTCCCGGCTTCTAGAGCAGGTGATGCTAGGAACAGAACTCTGACTGAGAGGATGGCCAGGTAGAACTTATGCCCAAACACAGCTAGTCCAGCCCAATACAAACAGACAAATGTACCCCTAAAACCTCTCCTGTCCTTCCTTCCCACCCCTACTCACAGCACACCCAACATGAGCCAAGTACCTTGTGACGGGTTCAGTCACAGAGATTCCCTTGGGACTATCACCTGATGCGCTGAAATTACCTCTGAGCCCATTTCCCTGCCAACTTGGGACTCCAGAACCCTGCCTTGTTGAGCCAGACACGCTAGCCTGCTGCTGCCATGCCCCCAAAGCTGCAGACTTTAACTAAAAACACTTCAGCAGGTTACCTGTCTCCAGCACCCAGACACCCAGCAACCAATGGGATCCAAACCCCAAATAAATCTGTTTTACTCTGGATAAAGCTTATACAGGGTAAATTTGTAAATTGTTCACCCTCTATATCACTGATAGAGAGATATGCACAGCTGTTTGTTCTCCCAGGTATTAATCGCTTTCTCTGGGTTTATTAATAAACAAAAGTGATTTTATTAAGTATAAAAAGTAGGATTTAAGTGGTTTCAAGTAATAAAAGCCAGAACAAAGTAAGTCACAAAGCAACATGAAACAGAACATGCAAGTCTAAGCCTCATACATTAAGAGACTGATTACAGGTACTATCTCATGCTCAAAGATGTTCCAATAAGCTTCTTTTACAGACTAGACTCCTTCCTAGTCTGGGCCCAATCCTTTCCCCTGGTACAGTACTTGTTAGTTCCAGCAGGCATTTTAGGTGGTAAGCAGGGGATTTCTCATGACTGACAGCCTCTTTTCTCCTGCTCCATCCCATTTTATAGCTCTGGCACAAGGCAGGAATCTTTTGTCTGAGCTTGTTCCCACCTCCACCTCATGAATGGAAAAGTACAAGGATTAAGATGGATTCCAGAATCATGTGACATGGTCACATGTCACTGTAAGACCCCCTAGTCTCCATTCTTCCTGGGTTGGTCCACAGGTACACAAGAAGGCTTGCAGGTAAATAAACCATTTACAACCAATTGTCCTAGTCTAAACCTGTCCTAAACCATTTACAACCAATTGTCAAGAATCTAACCCACCATTAATGGCCCACACTTTGCATAATTACAATAGGACCTCAGAGTTACACTTCATATTTCTAGCTTCAGATACAAGAATGATACATGTATACAAATAGGAGGAATATATTTAGTAGTTTATAACCTTTATTATGATACCTTACAAGAGATCTTTTGCATAAAGCATATTCCAGTTACATTATATTCACACTCATAAGCATATTTCCATAAAACATATGGAGTGCAACATCGCATGCCTCCTAAAAGCACTCCCCAAGCAAGCCTGTCAACCACAGCTTCTCTTCCAGAACCAGGCACTTCATTTGCAATGGCATTAGGGGGGCAGTTGCCCACCTCCTCAACCTTTGTTTTCCCCCTCTCAAGTTTTCATAGGTCTACATGCTCCACTTTTTGGCCCTCCCCTGACTTTGCGGGATATAATGTAATATAACCGCATAGTAGTGACACAACTTTGCCTCCTCCAAATTTTTCTGAAATGATACTCCTGACCCAAACCATACTGAAATCCTGGGAAATTTTATACAGTCCAGTTAACCCAGAATTCCCTTCTTCAGTGTGATGTGAGCATTTCTGGCCAATCAAACACTATGGCTGGGAAGTCTGTTGCTCTGGAGTTTGGATATGAACAGGTGTCCCTTGAGTGGCAGTTTCCTCACTCAATCAGAATTCTGATTGGTTGAGGAACTGTCACTCAAAGGGTAACCGCTGTGACTCCCCACTTTCTGAGATGAGGATGTCCAACAGTTATGATCTGATTGGATGACAGTTTTGTACCTGAGTGCCATGGGCCTGAGCGGGATTCTGGGAAGGCTGCTACAGGAGTTCTATAGGGCAGTGGCTGAAGCTGAGCAGAGGTCTGCATGTAAAGCAGAATTCAGCCTTGGGAGCTGTAAACTGTCCCCATGGAAAACTGAGTTCGGGCTTCTGCCACACGACTCTCTCCAGGTTTGGCCAAGTTTCCAGGAGGCCTCTCACCATAAAGACCATGGGTGGAAGCTGATGCTAGATTCATGACTCAAAACTGGAGCTAGCTGTGGAAGGGTGGTCTCATCGAGGGGATTAGCCTCTAGTCACCGACCTTTGTTCAGGTCCCTCTTCCACCCCAAACTGGTCTATGTCACTGAGTCTTTCTGTGCATCACTTTCCTATCTGTGGGGACGAATGCTTTACAGCTTGTGAGATGCTCTGATAGTATGAGGCAATGGAGCCATACAAGTGTCACAGGTAGAGATAAACTCAGGCTGGAAGTAAGGTGCAAATATGTAACAGCCCGGGCGAGTAACCATTGACCAATCTACCAGCCAAGGGCCAGGGATTCTCCATCTCGCGGAATCCGTATAGCAAGACTGGAAAAGCCATTCTCCAGCTCAGCCACAAGTTACAGGCTGGTGGCAGGAGTCACTGGCCTGTGCTCTGCAGGAGGTCAAACTAGATGATCCCAATGGTCCCTTCTGGCCTTCAAATCTGTTCAATCTGAGCATTTAGCCATTTGGATAAAATCTCCACATTTCTGCACTGTCCCCCTGAGCGGTATTTGTAAATGGAACAAAGATAGCTTCCCCCCTGAGGCGGGGATTTGGGGCCCTGCTTACAAAGAGTTATGGCACACACGACTGTCCCCTGCAGTCCATGGGCAAGCTGGGGTTAGTACACACACCCTTTGCTTTGCCAGTCAGGGCCCCTTCTGCCCAGGCTAGATGGTATGTGACTGGTGTCTCCCTTCTCCCCGCCCCCTCCCATTTGTCCTGGAAAACCTGCCAGCGGTGGGAGTGTCACATGAGAGGTATGATGCTATTAAAGTGCCAATAGGCCAGCCCCGACCTCTCCACACTGAGAGAGGCCGCCACGATCGCCAGATGGTGATCTGAGAACAGGGCCAGACGGCTGCTGGAGGAGTGGGCCCGTGAAAGGTGACAGCGTGATAAATAAATGTGGTCCAACCAGGAGTGGCACGACCGATGAGCCTCCATGTAAGATTTTTTTTTTTAATGTTTACGCTGTTTATTTTACAACAAAATGTTCCATAGCAGAGCATCTCCGGTTAGAAATTCTTGGAAACAATCCCATCATTTTCTGCCAGACGCAGAATAGAATCATCAGATTCACCCACCCTACGAATTGCTCCACAAATGGCATACGTTTGAACTGGCCATTGGCTCTGCCTGTGACCTGGTCAACCTCAGAAATATTCATTTGAATGGAAGCCTGGCCCTTCGCACCAATTATTCGATTGCTAGCAGAGCATTTACGAGGCACGTACAGGTCCACAAATTCCTCAGCGTCATTCTGCATCTTATTTTTCTATATCTTGCCACACAGGGATGTGCAAGAGGCGATACCTCACCGCCAGCCCATGTAAGACGCTGGGCAGGTACAGATCCCTCAGGGCTGCCCTGTTGTGCTCTGCCCACTACGTAGCACTCTGGCCATGCGTGACACTCAGCGGACAGCTGGCTCTCCTAATCTGCCCTCATTCCAGAGCACTTCGTGCTCCAGGGGGAGGCACAGAGCTGGGGGAACTGGCTCAACCCTCTGGCAGAGGCTCCCTGCTGTGATGTTACCTGGTTTATGACCCTTCTGCTCCAGCATAGCCAAAGCAAAGGAGCCATAGGACAGCTACCAATCTGGCTCCCAATCCTGAACTGATGATAGGTGCCTTTCTGGTCTCACAAATACAAACCTGTCACTTGATTTTCACAGAACCTCACTAATCTGTAAAAAGAAAAGGAGTACTTGTGGCACCTTAGAGACTAAAAAATTTATTTGAGCATAGGCTTTCGTGAGCTACAGCTCACTTCATCGGATGCATACTGTGGAAAGTGTAGAAGATCTTTTTATATACACACAAAGCATGAAAAAATACCTCCTCCCACCCCACTCTCCTGTTGGTAATAGCTTATGTAAAGTGATCACTCTCCTTACAATGTGTATGATAATCAAGGTGGGCCATTTCCAGCACAAATCCAGGGTTTAACAAGAATGTCTGAGGGGGGGGGGGTAGGAAAAAACAAGGGGAAATAGGTTACCTTGCATAATGACTTAGCCACTCCCAGTCTCTATTCAAGCCTAAGTTAATTGTATCAAATTTGCAAATGAATTCCAATTCAACAGTTTCTCGCTGGAGTCTGGATTTGAAGTTTTTTTATTGTAATATCACAACTTTCATGTCTGTAACTGCGTGACCAGAGAGATTGAAGTGTTCTCCGACTGGTTTAAGAATGTTACAATTCTTGACATCTGATTTGTTATTTATTAAATAATTATATATTATTTATAAATAAATTATAAATAATCTGATTTATTCTTTTACGTAGAGATTGTCCAGTTTGACCAATGTACATGGCAGAGGGGCATTGCTGGCACATGATGGCATATATCACATTGGTGGATGTGCAGACAGATAGCCCCCCAACCTGAAGCAAATACTCACCAGCAACCACATACCACACAACAGAACCACTAACCCAGGAACCTATCCTTGCAACAAAGCCCGTTGCCAACTGTGCCCACATATCTATTCAGGGGACACCATCACAGGGCCTAATAACATCAGCCACACTATCAGAGGCTCGTTCACCTGCACATCTACCAATGTGATATATGCCATCATGTGCCAGCAATGCCCCTCTGCCATGTACATTGGTCAAACTGGACAATTCATTTGCAAATTTGATACAAGTAACTTAGGCTTGAATAGAGACTGGGCGTGGCTAAGTCATTATGCAAGGTAACCTATTTCCCCTTGTTTTTTCCTACCCCCCACCCCTCAGACGTTCTTGTTAAACCCTGGATTTGTGCTGGAAATGGCCCACCTTGATTATCATACACATTGTAAGGAGAGTGATCACTTTAGATAACCTATTACCAGCAGGAGAGTGGGGTGGGAGGAGGCATTTTTTCATGCTTTGTGTGTATATAAAAAGATCTTCTACACTTTCCACAGTATGCATCCGATGAAGTGAGCTATAGCTCATGAAAGCTTATGCTCAAATAAATGGGTTAGTCTCTAAGGTGCCACAAGTCCTCCTTTTCTTTTTGCGAATACAAACTAACACGGCTGTTACTCTGAAACCTGTCACTAATCTGTGCTGCAGTAATCCACACGGGTTATAATTCATGCCAGACAACATCTGTCTTTTCCCAGGTCTGCAGGCAGAGAGGGCAGCAGCGGGGTCTCTCTTCTTAGTGAGACATACTTGTTTCTGACAAAAACACTGCAGCGCATCCATCAGCCCATTATGGAGAATTGCTGTAAATAACCGGGGCCCTGTCATCAAATCAGTGAGCGAGCCCTGTTCTGTGCTGCACCATCCATGCTTTTCCCTTTCTCATCATGTTTATTCGCTCACTAATTCACAGAGATGTAGTCCTTCACCATGGCTTTTCCAGTCACTAATAGGAATTGGCAAGATTGGATGAACCAAGAGACACTTCACACCCTTTGGAGACTGGGCATATAGATAGCAGATGTTCTCCTAAGTATATGTAAGTCCGGCAGCCTGGAAAATGCCAGCATCGTAAGGGTTAATACATTCATTCCCCTCCAGCTGCACTCCCTTTCCTTTGGTGCCAGTTCACACACACTCACCACCACCTGAAGCTGCTTCATCTGTTGATTCTGCTTCCCCCTAGTGGACTTAACGGTTTCCCAGTAAAAAAACCTTTCAACTCTTTCCCTGGTTTGCCCTTATTTTAGTCTTTCCTGGCTGCTTCCAAGGGGCTCACATATCAGGTTGACGAGTGTGAGACAGGCTCTCTACGATGCGCAAAGAGATGCTTTCAAATAGTTTTCTCAAAGACAGGCCATGACACCTGGAAGTTTGGGGTGAAGGTGCCACCTCACCTCAGCTGCTGACACTAGAGCAAAGCACAGCTTTGCATGGCTCAAGAGTAACTTCATTGTCAAGCTTTTGTGGCTTCACACAAGTGGAGCTTCTTGTTAAGATTCAGGTCCTGGAAGACATGTCACATGATCAGATGTTGCAATTTTGTTACATAATAAAAATGAAATTACAGCATTCATAGAGCCCTAGATTCCAAGGCCAGAAGAAAGCATTGTGATCATCTAATCTGACCAAAGGAAATTGAGTATCAAACAACCGATGTCTCTTAGGGGATGTGGAAAATGTTTCGCTCTCTGTTGCAGTGAAAGATTTGGAGGGTGCCCAAAAAAACAAGGCTGGTTTCATATCCATCCTGACCCCCCGAAGTGGCTGTATTTTTGACTGGGGTTCCCTGAGATAGGTTCCCCTCAATCTGCTTCTCAGTGCCCTCCTGTCCAAAAGCCAAAAAGACAGTAGGAAAGGGAACCGACTTTCAGTGTTAGCCGAGGGCCGTAACCACAAGCCCAGCCTGCCTCTGTGGAAGTCTTGCTCTGTTGGATTTTAGTGCCAGGGCACCGCTGGTTCACCCCCTTTTCCTGTGACAGCCAGGAGCTTCCCAAACCACAGGACACCAGCAGTTCTCATTGTTCCACACTGTTTTTGGAAGCTAAAGTTGTAGATGGCGAAAATGATGAGTTTCTATTACAGGGGCGGGTAAACTTTTTGGCCTGAGGGCTGCATCGGGTTTTGGGAATTGTATGGAGGGCCGGTTAGGGGAGAGGGGCATGGCCCGCCCCCCCCATCCACCCTCCCTGATTCTGGCCCCCTGACAGGCTGCCCCCCTGGACTCCTGCCCCATCCAAACCCCCCTGTTCGCTGACGGCCCCCCTGGAACCCTTGCCCTATTCAACCCCCCCTCTCATTCCTTATTGCCTCCCGGGACCCCTGCCCCATCCAACCACCCTTTCTCCCTGTCCCCTGACTGCCCACAGAACCCCTGCCCCGACTGCCCCCCACCTCCCATCCATCCCCCCTCCTTCCTGACTGCCCCCCCGGGACCCCTGCCCCCATTCAACCTCCCTGTTCCCCGCCCTCTGACCACCCCGACCCCTATCCACACCCCCACCCCCTGACCACCACCCCGAACTCCCCTGCCCTCTATCCAACCCCCCTGCTCCCTGCTCCCGGCCCCCTATACCATGCTGCCTGGAGCACCGGTGGCTGCCAGCACTACAGCCGTGCCGCCCGGATGGAGCCAGCCCCACCGCCATGCAGCCCAGAGCACCGGGTCAGGCCCCAGGAGCTCGCTGCCCCGCTGCCCAGAGCATCGCACCAGCGGCACAGTGAGCTGAGGCTGCGGGGGAGGGGAGGCAGTGGGGGAGGGGCCGGGGGAGCCTCCCAGGCCAGGAGCTCAGGGGCCAGGCAGGAGGGTCCCATGGGCCCGATGTGGCCCACGGGCCGTAGTTTGCCCACCTCTGTTCTATAGGCTAAAAATCCTGCTTGTAGGAAAAGATCTCTGGGACGCTGGGTTCTGGGCATTTCATTGTCAGCAATCTGTATATAACTCTCCTAATGACACAGGAAACATGCAGGGCTATTCGTATCTGGACCAGAATTCACTGGAGAGATTTAAAAATCCCCCCTGCCAGGGAGTTACCATATCTCAGACTATCTCCTGGAAAACGTGATCACTAACAACTGTATCTGAAATCATGGAAAGGGAAAGTGCCCTGGTTACGGGTTTCCAGATGTGCACTGTCATGCTGGGTGACTTTTGCTTTCCAGAGAAAGAAAGATCAAGTTTCCAAGAAAGAGCGAGAAGGAAAGATGGGCTTCCCACTCACACACCAGCCACTTGGAAGGAGCTCAGTGGGTGTGTTTCTGCAGATAAGTTAACTCCTAAAGGTGCACGACCTAGAAAACAGCGCCATGGGTACATTGCTGCACGACTGGGTTGGGGTTGGTGGGAGAGCCCTGCTGTGTGCGCTGAATGTTTACCGAGGGGTGGGAATATTAAGAAACGCGGTGAGGAAGCTCTCTTAACACATGTCCCATAACGGTCTGAGCCCCTCGCTCCTCAGGAGTAGGGTTTCCCATAGATGTTCCCTCAGCAAGCGCCTGCTGGGCTGTCTCCAGAGCCCTTTTCAAGGTGACAGGAAGCTACCGCCTGGCTTTGCCAGACCTCTGACTGTCACAGGGAAAGGGAGTGTATAATGTACAGAGGGGGACGGAGGAGCAGGTGGGTAGCTGGGAGAGGAAGAGTGCCTCAGTGGCTAGGATGACATCTCATGACTCACAAAACATAGATTCCTTTCCCTTCTCTGCACAGACTCCTTGTGTGACCTTGAGCAAGTCACTTAGCCTCTGTGTGCCTCAGTTTCCTATCTGTACAATGGGAATACTAGAGGTGTTCTGAGGATAAGTATGTTGAGGACTGTGAGCCATGGGGGCCATACCAATACCAGAGATAGATAGGGACAGTGTTGAAGGACATTCCCATTTT